CCACGCGGAATGTCTTTAGGCCTTGTCTTCTTCTTTGAAACCACGCCCTTGCAAAAATCTCGCCGGTTCGTCATAATGGCACCAATCGTATAGAAACCCATTATCAAGAGCTGGACCGCCAGAACAAACGAGGTATAAAATCAATCCACCATAATCAGCCTCATCGCCTTCCCCGAAAGCTTGTCTCCGAAAACAGCACGTAAGTTGCGGACCCAGTAGCAGGACCTGGCGTCGTATCCACAACACCAGACGCTGCAATATGCTGCTTTTGTCCACAGTAGAATTCGAAACTAACATGCAGTAGATGCAGTGCAATTTACAACATATGTAACGCAGCTATTACACCACTAAGTAGTTTCACTTACCGAATGAATAAGCAGAACGCGCACAGCAAAGCATCAATAGCTTAGTGCCCTCTTGTGGGGCTTCCTCTTTCATGTACATTCGAACAGCGACCATGAAGGTAGCAGTACCTCATCGAATGTCTGCTCCAGCACATTGACCATGGAACGAATTTCCAAGCACGATCAGTCTTTGTACGGGGTCTTGACAACTATTGAAGTATTAATTCCAGCTGATATACATAAATCGATATCTTGCCATGTAATGACCGAACGTCCCGCGCAATATTGTTCTGACTTTTTTTCTTGACGCCAGTGGTTTTCCAGTCTGCCCCGATTGGGGATGATTGCCCTGTGATCAACAGCCCCATGTATACCCACAGCTCGTGAGGTTGGATTGGCTTGACTGACAAGAATTCCTGGCGAGCGTCTCGATGCGTCTTCTCCTAGGGGGAGTCGAGTAGATCCCAGCGGCCTTAGCCTTCTTTTTCTTCATCTCCTTCTTTTCAGACTAAGCTTCAACACGCTTGTTCAGCTGCTCCTGCATGTAGAAATTACTGCGCTCGGCAATATGCTGCCACATCGCTACCGGTATGACGAGGAAAAAAATAGCGAGATAGGCGACCCTCCCCTCTACATGCTTTGGGGGCTTGTTGATCTGGCGATAATCAACGGATACATCCTGCACCGAGCTTACTGCAAGGAGAAGGGGATCAAGGCAATGCCCACGCCGTTCGAACTGCAATTGTTGAGGTATGGAAAAAAGTGCGCGAATAGGAGGCGAGCTGCCGTTGGTTTCGGTAACGGGGGTATGTTCATGCCTGCCTAAACTGATACGGATTTGACATTCTGGGAATCGCGTCAATAATCAATCCAATATCTCCAAGCAGTTGACGAAATTGTCGCAGCCGAAGTGAATGCCGTCTAAGAACGACCGTCGATCGAATACACCGCGCAAAGTACCCCAATCCACATACAAGCAGACACTAACGCGCTCGTTAGATTATCAGTATGGTCCAGAAGTCAATTTGTGTATCCAGCGCGCAACTCATAGGTAGCACTCGAAATCTGTCAGTAATGCGTCGACTGCTGCATCGTGTATTCCATGATGCGGTGATGGTATCCACCATCAAGTAACCAATTCAGATCCAGATGTCCTGGTCGTTCTAGTTCATCAGAGTCATGATAGGCGATACACTGGGGCGATATACTGTCTAGATGAACTGGTACACCAACTTTGCGGTCGCATAACCTTTTTGAAATTACCAAATTTAATTTTTTTTAAAGAAAAGAACCACCAGAAAGCTCTGTATCGCATATTTCCAGTAATGGTGAGTTCTTTCAGTATATCCCTGTTGTCGCGTATCTGAGAATATTTTAAACCCTTTTGCGAGCAT